TGTGGCCCCTTTCCATCCACAAAACATGATCCACACACCAGCCACTGGCTATGTGACTGTGGGCATTTGATAATCTCTCTAAGCTTCATACTTTTTGCCGGTAAAATATGAAAATAGAAATAACTATAACTGTCAAATTTTTGTGAATATTTAAAAAGACACTAAATATGATATACTTAGATTACAAATTTTATTTGATTATTTACTAATTTTTATTGGTTTATATTGTTTTGACTTAAAGGTTAACAATATTAAAATTCAATATATTTTCTATATTCTCATTTTAACCAATTAATTTTTACTATGGAAAATATTATCTTTGCATATCAAATATCTAAAAATGAACTTTAAAAAAATTCAAAGCTATAAGAAGAAACCATAAAGATTTGTTGAAGAAAACTTAAGATGAAATTCAATATTGCAAATCTATCCATTTTTCCAAAATTAATAATTAATTTCAAAATACCAGTTCAATAAAATTCCCATAAAGCCTCCATAGAAATTGATTGGTCTCAAAGTTCATCTAAAAGAATAAATATAGGAGAAGCAGCAAAATTATTTTGATAAAAAAGAGAGAGGACTTACTAGAATCAGCATATACCATGTAAAAGCCATAGTATTTTAACAGTATGCAGGAAAATATAATAAATATTTTCATTGAAGCAAACTTAATAAGAGTTTCTCATTTGAAACTAAAAAAAAAGAGAGTGAGAGAGAGAGAGAGACCAATACAGTGCTGATAAATATTTGGTCCCCAAATTTTGATGTCATGAAACTATCAGATAGAAATATGCCTTGTGATGCATTAAAATATTTTCAGGAATGTTCATTGTGGCATATTTTTCATTGTTATATATATATATGTACATTGGAACCATGTACCTTATACTTGATTATAAGTCCTATCACAAAAACTGGAAAATCTAAATGCCTATGAGTAAATTATATCGGAACCCAAATATTGTGAAGCCCTGTCCAACTGGACATCACCTATGTCTATTAACTCTCTTTCCAAACCTTCTTTAGCACCTAACAAAGTTTAACACACAGCTTCTTGTGATGATGATGATAAATAGGTATTGAGTGCTTACTATGTGCTAGTCACTTTACTTACTTTTCATTATATCACTTATGTATCACCAAAATCCCATGAGGTAGACCTGGATTCTTTCTAGTTTTCAGATGAGGAAACCACTGCTCAGAATGATTAAGCAACTTTCTGAGGGTCACAGAGCCCGAATTCATGCTAAAGTCAGCCTAACATCAAAGCAACTCTCTGGACTTCTTAGTGATGAAAAAGAATAGAGTTTTATAAAAGGCACTAACTAAACTTCTTCACTTAGATCTTGAATAACCCTCAGACATCAGAGGTGGAGCTGTTTTTAGTCACCATCTTTGTTGTATCCTGCTGAGGAAATGCCTCACCCATTTCTCTGGAGATGCAGATGTGATACTTAATATAAATAGTAGATATTTAATATTTATACTATGCTATCTTATATTATTAGTGATTTTCATATATATATATATATATATATATATATATATATATATATATTGGAGCCATGTACCTTATATTTCATTATAAATCCTATCACAAAAACATGAGAAAACAAACATATGTGATGATAGTGATAATGATGACAATCATAATTGACTAGAGGCCCAGTTCACAAATTTGTGCACAGGTGGGGTCCCTCTGGGTAGCCTGCAGGGATTGAGCCGAAACACGCAATCCAGCACCAACTGCATCTCCTACCTGCTGCTCCCACTTATCCCAGCCCCACTGTGCCTGCTGTGGGCTTGTGCCCAATCAGTCCTGATCTGGAGAGGCTCACGCTGCTGAAACAGCACTCACCTGCCATAAGCCCAGCCTCTGTCACCCTCCCAAGAGGAGTAGCCTGCGGGATCCTGCTGAAACTGGCTCTCCAACATCCCCCGAGGGGTCCCAGATTGTGAGAGGTCCCAGGCTGAGAGACCCACCAGTACACAATCAGGACTGGGGAGGGACCACAGGATGGCTCCAGGATGTGTCTGGCCCATCTCCCTCAGTCCCAATGGGCTGGACCCCAGCAGTAAGCTAACATACTGGTCATAGCATCTGCCCCCTCGTGGTCAGTGCACATCATAGCCACTGGTCGACGGGTCAATTGTCTGGACCCTGGTTGTTAGTGCATGTGAAAGCTAGCGGTTGAGCAGCCTTAACATATCATTAGCATATTACACTTTGATTAGCTGGTCAGTTGGTCTGCTGCTCAGTTTATTTGCATATTACCCTTTTATTTTGTTTTATTTCAAGTTCCCATCATTCTTGAGGCAAATTCAGAACAAATTTAAAAGTAGAATAGAAAAAATAAGTAAAGTAGGAAAACATTCTCAGTTTCTTTTCTCCTTAAAATTTTATGCACTCTTGTTGTAATATAATTACCCCGAATGTACAGAGTCTTGTTTTAGCTCTTTCCACACTATTCTTCGTCTCTTGAAAAGGTGAAAGTGAATGTAAGTTTCTTATTTTAATTACAGTTTATTTCTAATCATTCCTGTTGCCTCCAAACCAAGAAACTGAATTTCCCCGATTCTCATGCTCCAATCGGAAAGGACTTTGGCACAGTTTGTTTCTGTAATAACTCCACTACCTGCCACCTATCTCAACCTCACAATAAAAGTGATTTGATTATATTATGCAGATTTGTGTTCTCTCGGGTTTTAATATCAAGTTAGCATTTTGGGGTTTTCTCCATAGTGAGAATTATACATGCTGACTATGTATAAATTAAGTCCTCTTAATAGTTAATATAATTTAGTCCAAAGCTATTACTAGCCTAATTGGGTTTTCTTGTGCCTTGGCTTAAGGTCTAGAATGGAGCAAATGTAAAGGGCTGAATACAACAAGGTTAATTATGTTTAAAACCTGCAAAATAGCTAGTTTTTGGTCCATTACACACATACACACTCTCTCTCTCTCTCTCTCTCTCTCTCTCTCTCTCTCTCTCTCTCTCTCTCTCTCTCTCTCTCTCTCTCACACACACACACACACACACACACACACACACACACACACACACCATAAGGGAAAAGACCCAAAGAAATTCTTCCAACAAAAATCAACTCACACCTTCCTTCTTAGGCCGGTATGCTGCCATAGCTCAGGTTTGAACATAGTGCTTGCCTCCTTCCAGTTTCACAATACAGTTTTCTGCCAAATTATTTGTTCTCAAGGGCTATTCAGCTCACAATCTGTGTTCAAAATGGCTCCCCGGTGCCTGTGAAATTAAGTATAAACTCCTCACTCTGGCCTTCAGGAATTCTCTAATTTGAACCCAATTTATCTGAACAGTATCATAGCCCTCTACTGCACTACATGATCATTAGCTTAATGAAGGCAACTCAATTAACGTGCCCCAAACACTCAGCCAACTTCCCACCTCTGAGCCACCACTGATGCTCACACAAACTTCCCCCACTGTCTCCAAAGCCTTTGGCATCTTCCTGAAATCCTGCTCATCTCCATTCTGCTCCATTTTAGAGCACTGGGCTGGGATTCATGGTAACATGAGATAGCCCAGCACACAGCCATGCTGGGGTCTAGAGACCCAGAGTTGCATTGGACCTAAACACACCACTAGTGGATGGCCTTTTTCAGTGATTTGTTTGCCTTCTATATATATTTTCCAAACATGAAGATTTCATGGATTCAATTGTTTGCCATAAAATGTAGAACTTTCTTAATGGAAACAATTAGTGTCAAGGAAGCTCAGTGACAGTTAGCTTTCTCTGAGTCCAGACAATCACAAATGGTTGGCTTGTGCATCAGTCCTTCACCCACCAGTTATTGTGGCTAAGTGCTTGGGCTCAGAGAGCAAAGCCAGCAAGGATGTGTGTAAGAATAGACTAGATCATGTTGAAGACATATGGATGCCTTTCTGTTGAGTCCCCTTTCAGGCCCCTAAATCCCACAGGCAGATACAAACCCTTCCTTGTTTGTAAAAAATTAGAGAAGGAGGGTGTGAACATAGCAATAACAATGAAGGAACTACAGACACACAAAATAACATAAATGAGCCTCAAAAACAACATGCTGCCAGGGTCAGTGCAGCTCAGTTGGCTGAACATCGTCCCATGCACCAAAAGGTGGTCAGTACGATTCCCAGTCAGGGCACAAGCCTGGGTTGAGGGTTTGATTCCTAGTGGAGGGCACACAGGAGGCAGCAGATTAATGTTACCCTCTCACATCAATGTTCCTCTCTCTCCCTCTCCCTTCCTTTCTCTCTAAAAATCAATAAAAAATTAAAGAAAACAATATGCTCAGTGAAAGCAGGCACATGCCATAGAGTACATGCTGTGAGTCCATTTATAAGAAGTCTTCAAGCAGGCTAAAAAAATTGAAGTAGATGAAACAGCAGATGTTTCACTGTTGGTATAGATAGAAGTTGGCTGGGAAGAATACTTCAGAAGAGAAACTTTCTGGGGAAGGTGGTGATGGTTGAAATCTTGTAAAGTAGGAATTGCATAAGTGGAAGCCACCAAAGCTCATTAAACTGTACACTTAAAATTCACTCATTGTACAAGGATATGGTTCTTGAATATTCAAAATGAGATTTAGAACATCAGTACCAGCTCTAGTGCTGATTTCCTAATACATAAATGAATCCCTTCACTTTCACTGGACATTGAGGATAAGGGGCCCAGTGGGCAAGGGTGGCCTCTGCTGTAGGAATCTCTGGGTCCAAATGCTGCTTTTACCAGTTTCTGATTTTGTAACTTTGGGCAAGTTGTCTAAGCATTCTCAGTTTGAAGTAGGCTTAATCAAATTAAATGAATAATTTTCATCATCATTCATATCTTAAAGAATTATTGTAAAGATGAAATAAATCAGATGATGCATGGCAAAGCCTTGATCTCAGGTCCAAAGTATTCAGTCACCATTAGCTGCAAGGATCCTACCAGATTTAAGCACCTTGAAGGAACACTCTGCTTCTTTGTCCTTGTGTTGCTCTCCTGGGATCTTAAAGTGGGTGGATATGTATAGCTGTATGTCAACATGTGAAGTGTTCCTGGAGTGGCAATGCAACAATATTTGGGGAAGGAGTAAACACTCTAATTATTATACATGCATGACATTTTCCTGGGAGGGAATAAAATTCCTGGGCACACCACAGATAACAGAGGATTCAAAGTGATTTCAGACCTGCCCCCGGCAGCTTCTGCCTTCTCTTGGGTTCCAGATTTCAGGGTGACCTCAGTGGAGAATTTTAAGAGGCACCATGAGCTAAATATTTGCTGAATTCAAGTCAAATATATTATACTCATTCAGGGATACATTTGGAATAAATACCTGTCTGTTCATCTTCATGCATTGTCTTGACTATAATAATTTGCTTAGCCTGTCAATCCCTTGAATTTCAAATGAGACAAGTAGGAGCAATTTATCCCATGAAAAAGGGTAGAAACAAAGGGAGGCACCTTGTTTGTATTTTCTAATTTAATTTTAAAAAACAAAAGAAGTGTCAACTGCAAATAGTAAGCTGAACTGGCACATCACTGTTGGCTTCTTTTTCAGGGCAGCTGTTTGGCAATATTTAATCATCAACAGCTAATACCCACAATCCATGTGAGCAAAGGCCAAGCTTCCTCAGTGAAGACTTTAGGGAGATTGGGGTACCGACAACCAGCTGATTTCCAGTGCTCTCAGAAGTCACCCCAATTAGGTTGGTCTCAAATACTTTTTCTACTGCACACACAAATCCCCCACAAGAATTTGCAAAAGAACATTGAAAAATAGAAAACTCTATTCAGTAAGATACCTTTTTAGTCAGTGTTTTTCTAAGGGATTGAGTTTAAATCCTAGGCCCTGTTTGGATATTCTTATTGCATCTAAATGGAAACTACCGAAGTATGAAGACTAGGAAAATAAATAGCCATTGAGTTAGCTTAGTGTCTGCACCTCTGGATCCCAATACAAGAGTGTGTGTGTGTGTGTGTGTGTGTGTGTGTGTGTGAGCACCCTGAATTGCCGTGTGCACCCTCAGAACAGAAATGCTTACTCATGTCTCAGCTGATCGTTCCCCAGCACCATCTGCTACACAGTTGTTGGGTTTCTGAATAGATCCTTTATCTTAGAGTGTCTTTTGGATTCCTGGACCAAATTCTAACGTGTGTGTGTGTGTGTGTGTGTGTGTGTGTGTGTGTAGACAGGAATTCTCAGACACCAGCAGGGTGTCTGATAATTCAACTCAATCCAGACACTGTCTACCTGGAGACAGCATCAGAGACCATGGATCAATAGCTCAGTCCCACAGAACACCCTCCACTTCAGACACCAATCTTGAATCTAGGTGGTTATCTGTGTCACCAACAAGCTACAAATCAGAGGTTCCCAGAACCCTCTCCTTGGGTTTGACTCTAATTTGATAGACTGGCTCACAAAACCAAGGAAATATGCTTACTTGCTAAAATATATTAGCATACCTTCCACAATCATTTAGTCTTTCTGCAATCTATACTGTTTGGGTTGTCACAGCTTGGGGAGAGGGTGGGGGAAGGGTTGACATCAAGTAAGCTAAGGCCCTGGTAAGATGCAAAACATCATCCTACAATGCAAGGGACAGACCCCACCCCACCCCCCAACAAAGAATCATCCATCGCAATGTTACCAATGCCAAGGAGAAGTGCTGGGACTTTGCTGAATTTACAGAATAAGCTATAAGCCTGCTTTTGTGTCTGTATTACTACTAATATATATATTCGGACTGAGGCTGCTTTGATTGTAACACACCACTGTATAGCAACTCTGTGAAGATTTACAATTTTTCTACCTCTAAGTATGGTAGATTACAAACAAATATTTTTTTTAAATTTTGACCAAATTGCCACATGCCAATTTTCATAACCTACTATAAATTTCCTTCACCCTTTTTGACTATGCCATGTTCTATTTCATGTATTTGATGCTTCAAATGGCTAAAAGCAGAAAAGAAAGAACATGGGGAATGAGGTGATATTCTGTTACGTAGCAACGAGATTTGGGCAACCTCCCCAGGATTCTTTTGTTAATGCTTGAATATTACATTGTCTCGTTTTATAGAGCCCTACATTAAACATAAAAATAATTCCAAGTACTGTATTTAACTTTAATCTGATTACTTTAAATGTAGCATACCGATTGCTCAAATTAAACAGATATTTTATCAACTGAGTTTCCTGCTAATTATGCTGTTGCTCTTATTAAAAATTACCCCCTGCAGCATCTGTTCTAGTTTCTGTCAAACAATGAAAAGGTTTGTTCGCATGTTTTTATTTTTAGAATAAACTGTACTACAAAGAGAACCCGTGAACATGTCCTATTAAAATAAATGTTTCATCATGAAACAGCAAATTTACAGATCCTGTAAATCTAGATTTAAGCACATCAAGCCTTTTAAACTCAATGACTGACTTATGATCAGTGTAAAAACCACCCGTCAAAGGCAGAGAGTGCACTTAATTATTTACAAGCCTGTTTGGTTATAGCAGCTGATTTAGGCACTTGTTTCTCCTTGATTTTGTGGGAAAGTGTTAATATGAAGCAACAGAGCCAACATTCATTAAATTGTGAATACAGCAGAATAGTAAGCACCATAATGTTAGCACTGGGAGAGCCTGAGCAATAACCTAGTTTAGTCCTTGCACTGTGCAGGCAGGGGAATTGAGGCCCAGGGATGAGACATGCCTGGGACCCAGCAACATAGCAAGTTTATAGTAAAGTTACAAATATTATCCAAGGTAGGCAGAACTCCAAGATGGCTCCAATGAATCCAACTCATGTTTAATCCTCTGTTCTGTGACTGTAGTATGTTTTCATTCAGTTGATTGCATTATGGTATATAGCAAAAGTGAAAATTTTATAGATGTAATTAAAAACTAATTAGTTGACTTGAAGTTAATTAAGGAATGAGTATCCTGGGAGGATTTGACCTAATAAGACAAGCTCTTTCAACCAGGATCTGGAGGTCAAGGACTCAAAGCAGTAAAGATGCTCTCTGGTTGGCCTTGAAGAGGAAAACTCCAAATATTGAAGAGAAGGCTGTCCAACAGGCCAGAGGGCAGCCTCCAGGAGCTGTGAACTTTAGTCCTATAGGCCCAAGGATCTACATTCTCCCGCCCACCAGTGGGCTTGGAAGAGGCTCCTGAGCCTTAGATGAGAATGCAACCACAGTCCACACCTTGATTTCAGCCCCGGGGACCCTGAGCAGAGGACACAGCTAGAGTGCACCCAGACTCCTGATCCATGGAACCCATAAGTTTTTTTTAGTTTTTTTTTTTTTTTAAGTGTTACTGTGGTTAGTGACTCATCATAGAAAATATTACAGTAATCTTGGTCTATGGCTTTCCTCTACTTAGAAGGGCCTCTCTCTCCTCTCTGGGTCACACTGACCATTCTTAGATTATTGCTTGGGATGAGGACACAAATTAATAGAGACAAGTCTAAGGGTTCCATGCACTTCATGCCTCCTCCTACACACCACGCTGCAGAACTCCCTAGTTCATGCCCCACTTCCGGTCCTCAACTGAGGAGTGCAGGGGAAGCTCAACAGTCCTTGGCCTTGTGCTGACTTTGCTGCTTTGATCTAGGAAGCATCAATAAGGATAATGATATGAAAATTAAAACAACCAAGAAAATTTAAACACGTGAATTTATACTGATTCTAAAGACAAAAATTAAACAAAAAATCCTAATTAAAAAAAAAATCTTTGCATCATTTTAGGGAACAAATTCATTATTTTAAAAATGCTAAGTAAAGCCGAAACCAGTTTGGCTCAGTGGTAGAGCGTCGGTCTGTGGACTGAAAGGTCCCGGATTCGATTCTGGTCAAGGGCATGTACATTGGTTGCGGGCACATCCCTAATAGGGGGTGTGCAAGAGGCAGCTGGTCAATGTTTCTCTCTCATCGACGTTTCTAGCTCTCTATCTCTCTCCCTTCCTCTCTGTAAAAAAATCAATAAAATATATATTTTTAAAAAAAGTTAAGTAAAGAGAAAGAAGGGCCGAAACCAGTTTGGCTCACTGGACAGAGCATCAGTCTGTGGACTCAGGGGTCCCAGGTTCGATTCCAGTCAAGGGCATGTACATTGGTTGTGGGCACATCCCTGGTTCGGGGTGTGCAGGAAGCAGCTGGTTGATGTTTCTCTCTCATCCATGTTTCTAGCTCTCTGTCCCTCTCACTTCCTCTCTGTAAAAAAATCAATAAAATATATTTAAATATATATATATTTGAGAGAGAGAGAGAGAGAAAGAGAAGGAAGTATTAATCCTGTCTGTCCTATGTGGCCTGGGCATCAGGGTAACTAAGCACCTGGTGAGTAAATTTCTCCTCACTGAATGAAGAAAGAATGATGGAATCCACACATCACTATTTTAAAAACTTCAGTAAATTATGAAGTGGAAAATGGTCATCAATGGCTACTAATATCATGAAAAGAAGAGAAACACAAACAACATGTGCCTTCTGAAGATAAGAACACCACCTATTAAGTTACTTTGCCAAAAAGGGTGACTGACAAAAATTGAATCTGCAAAGGGACAAGCCTCTGGAGATCTATCAATAATTACCAATTGGCAGGAAATGCCCAGCGCAGAGGACAAGTGAGAGCCCCCAGGAAATGCACTGATCCAAACAGATGGTAGGGGCCTCGACACAATAAATGACAGGAATTCCTTAAAAATAAACTTCAAGGAATAAAAATAGAGAGGGTAGAAGAATGCACAATTAAAAGAGACCTAAGAGACATATCTCTAATTGCAATGTGCTAATATTATTTCAACCTCCATTCAAAGAAACTATAGACATACAAATAAATGTGCATACACACACACACACACACACACACACACACACACCCACACACACATTACGTATTTATACCATTGGAGACATTTGAACACTGTATATTTTATGATATTAAGAAATACGAATTATCACTATGTTCCTCTCTACCTCCTTTTTCCTACTGAGCCAAATAATTCTACTAAATAATCTCCAAGCAGCATGTACATCTCCGCCAAGGCATCATAATGGCAGCAATTCCATTTACATTTGGTTGGGGATTTTATTAACGTGTGACTCCCGACGGGGACCTAGTGTGCTTTTGTTTCAGACCTTACTCATAAGGAAGTGTTTAAAATATTGAAGTGCCAAGGAAATGGAATAAATAAAATGACTCAAGGACAGCCAACCAATTGCAGCTAAGTAATTTATGTGTAAAGTGGCATTGAGAAGCATACACAAATAAGGAAGAGAGAGAAAATGATAATGCACACAGGGGATATTTTTCATAGGCCTGTAACGATGGATATATGCACTGGAGCCAGCACACCAGGCTCCAGGACAGAAAGAAAAGCAGTCCGAGGATTTGTACTGAAGCAAGTTACCCAGCTGAGAGTCTGTGACAGCCAAAGAGATTTTCAGGGGCCAGCACAAGTACAATGGCCCCATCGGGCTCCAGACGGAACAAGCCACAGCCACTGATGGGTGTCATCAGCAGGACTTCACTGAGGGTCCTTGTTCTCTTCGCGGAGGGAAGCTGGAGTGGGCTGGAGAGAGGGAAAAGAGGAGCATCAGTTCTCTTGTCCGGGAGTATTTCCTTTAAGCAGAACTGAAGTGTGAACCTCTCCTGTCTGTGATATTTATTACCCCTCATGCACCTTGCTTCCTCTAAATTGAGAGGATTTTCATGTGAGTCTAAACCTCTGACAGCCTCTGTCATCTGTGGAGAAAGAATAGGGATTTGGGACAGTGTCTATGAGCAAGGCTACATAATTAGGAACAAAAAACATCCTGGGTCCTTACCCGAGGGGTGTGGGGAGTCACACATTCAAAATTAATTTGGAAAATAAACCCCTCTTTATGAATAAGTTGAAAATGACTCTACCATACTGATGTTTAATTTTTACCTGATGCCACAATAAAATCAAGACAACCTGGTTTCTGTTTTGAGCAGGCATAGGTCTAGTATGCACATTTTAAGAGAAAAATATATTCAACATATTTCTACAGAAGGTAGATTACCAGGGATGAGGTGAGGGTACATGGAAAGGACCATATCAGTAAAAAGCTTTTCTATTTCTCTGAAAAATTAAAAACAGAGGAATGACAATGAAAGGAAATAGCAAAAATATTATCCTGCAATTAGGATATATTCCTTCTGGGACCCTGTAACATCTCTGTCTATTGTCTTTATGATAAAATCTTTTGCTTTCAGACCTCTAAAAATTGAACAAGCCTATGGCCTGTGTCCTTGGAGAGTGAATCCTGTGTTTAAGCACTGGATGCTCATAAAATTAACCCATCAAACAGGTCATCTTTTTAATGAGATAGTAATATTTTATAATGATCACACTATAACACAGTGAGAACTCTCTACCCTGCCAGGGCTGCTGAAAATTGGCAGCACCTTCTGAAAAATGCTTAAGATAGCCTCAACTTTTCACCACTTACTCCTCCTATAGGGCCCTGTTATTATTAAACTACTAAAGGTCTGGTGAATGAAATTCATGCAGGGGGGCTGTCCCCCCAGCCCAGCCTGTACTCTCTCCAATCTGGAACCCCTTGGGAATTGGGATTAAACCGGCAGTTGGATATCCCTCTCAATCCTGGACTACTGCCTCCTAATCACTCACCTGCCTGCCTCCCCGATCACCACTCACTGCCTCTGCATGATGGCCTGATCACCCCTAACTGCCCCCCCTGCTGGCCTGGTAGCCCATAACTGCCCCCTGCTGCTAGCCAGGTCATCTTCACCTGCCCCTCCCTGCTAGCCTGGTCACCCCTAACTGCCCCCCCCCCCGGCCCGTGAGCCTGGTGGCCCCTAACTGCCCCCACCCCTGCTGGCCTAGTTGCCCCTCACTGCCTCCCCTGCCAGCCTAATCACCCCCAACTCCCTCACCCCTGCTGGCCTGGTCACCCCTCACGGCTTACCCCCCTCCCCTCCTCCCCACTTGCTGGCCTGATTGTCCCATGCAGCCTGATGTTCAGTCATTTGGTCATCCCTCACTAACCCCTGCCAGCCTGGTTACCCAAGGCAGCCTACTTGTTCAGTCATCTGGTTGTCCCTCAATGACCCCTCTGCTGGCCTGGTCATAGGCAACCATCTTGTGAGGACATAGGGGTTAATTTGCATATTACCTCTTTATTATATAGGATGAGAGAGGAAAACAAAGACACACCTTTGTGTGAGGATATTCAACCTACATGCTAAAGAAAAGGGGACTGCTGAAATTTATGTTTATGTATCCATGTGATGTCATGCTACACAACCATGAAAGTAAAAATGTCTTCTAAGACTACTTATTGGCATGGGGAAATTATTCTTATATACTGTTGAATAAAAAAAAGCAGAACTAAAAACACAATGCAATCTCAATAAAATCTGTTATATATACATATATAGAATTATATATGTACATAAATAAATAAAAAATAAATATATAAGTTAAAAAAAAACTAAATAAGCAAACAGAGGGGAAAAACGAATTTAAAATGTACTTATCTTCTATAATAATAAAAGTGTAATATGCTAATTAGACCAGACAGCAGAATGACCTTCTGGATGTCATTTCAGATGTCTTTCTGGATGAAACCTCTGCAATGGGGGCTGAGGCAGAAGCAGTTAGGGGCGATCAGGCAGGCAGCAGTCCCAGATTGCAAGAGGGATGTCTGACCAGCAGTTGGACATCCCCTGAGGGGTCCCAGATTGCAAGACGGTGCAGGCCAGGCTGAGGGACACCCCTCCCCCTGAGTATGAATTTTGTGCACTAAGCCTTTATTTTTATTTATTTTATTTTTATTTTTTTTAGTCTATAATAATAAAAGCATAATATGGACCTCCTTCCAGACATCCTTCTGGATAACCTTTCTGATGAAGCTGGGGCTGTGAGGGAAGCCCAGGCCATGGGTGCCTGCCGATAGCCATAAAGAAGCCTGGGTCCCAGGTGCCAGAGGGGAGCTGGTGCTGGCAGCTGGGGGAAGAAAGGCCTAGTCTTGCATAAATTTCCTGCATCAGGCCCCTAGTCCTAATATATATAAAAACCAAGGTCTGTACGACCAAAGGCTCGACTGAACACCAGAAGTTGGCCACTGCTTTTGGGCACAGCAACCCAACACTGACTTCCTATGGGGCTATGGTCAGGCTCGGAGAGAGGCCCAGAGAAAGAGGCAGGTTCTGATCTACAGCTTCCATGGCAACTGTTGAAGAGCCCTTGCCTCTTTCTTTCTCTCCAGACTTTGCCAGCAGCTATGTTTCTCTCTCTGGGCCTCTGCAGGAGCTGCTGATCAGCCCTGCCTCTCTGATCAGGACTGAAGATAGGCACAAAAACGCTGACTGGCATAGAAACCAACCAATCAGAACCAAATCTGGGTAAACTATGAGGAGCCAATGGCTGCCTAGGAGGTAGAGCTTCTGATGCTGACTGACATAGAAACAGACCAATCAGAGCCTAATCTGCTCTGGGTGAACTGTGAAGGCAGAACCTAGGGTGGGGGGCTGAGGAGAGGTTTTAAGGGCAACAGCTATTTGCTGTAAGGTGTAACAAAGTGGTTCAATTTTTTTAATGACCTGTTTGGCAGTATAGTGCATATGGCTGGCTATCAGTCCAGATATAGGGATTATGTATTTTTGTCTGTCATGTGCATCTCCTCCTGCTGAAAAAGCGCCCCCCCCCTGCAATTTAAGCAATCTTATCCTATATAATCTATCTATACTACTAAAAGGGTAATATGCTAATTAGACTGGGTCAACCGGCCATCTTCTGGATGTCCAACTTCCTTCTGGACAAAGCAGTAGTTATGGGGGCCAAGGCAGAGGCGATCAAGCAGGCAGGGGAAGGCCATTAGGGGCAAGATCAGGCCAGAAGGGGAGGGCAGTTGGGGGCAACCAGGTTGGCAGGGGAGGGCAGTTGGGACAAGATCAAGCTGGCAGGGAAAGGCAGTTGGGGGCAATCAGGCAGACAGGCAGAGGCAGGTAGGGGTGATCAGGCAGGCAAGCAGAGAAGTTAGGAATGATCAGGCAGGCAGGCAGGTGAGTGGTTAGGAGCCAGTGGTCTCAGATTGTGAGAAGGATGTCCAACTGCTAGTTTAGGCCTAATCCCTCTGGGTCCCTGATTGAAGAGGGTGTAGGCTGGGTTGAGGGAACCACCACACCACACACCCCCTCATGCACAAACTTCGTGCACCAAGCCACGAGTATATCTATAAAGAATTACCAGGAATAAAGAGAAGTATTATCTGGTGCTGTAGGTATTTTTCTTTTATATTGTTCTTTTATTCTTTCCCAGCATTTTCTACAATAGGTTTTGATTGCTTTTTATATTCAGAGCCCAAAATAAAAATTACCAAAGGAAAACTGGAAAATACTACATGGAATATACAACTCTCTATTAATGAGAAATCCAACTTAATAATAAAATTCTAATGATGAGAAAATGAACTTAAAACAGAATATCTCATTTTTCACTATTGTAGGTAATTGGGATTCTTTTTATGTGTTTATTTATAAGTCGCATACTTACCAAAGAGACTTCAGGCATTTAATTGGGAATTCACTGAAGTTGTGTTTATTTCTAGGCACTATCCCTTAATTTTCACTAAACTCATAAAAAGAAAGCTCCCAGGCATCTAGTTTGCTTATAATGTAGTAGTTTCTAGAGTCCTGAGCTAGAAGGCAATAGGTGACCATTTTCACTAACAAACTGTGAAATAAAGTAAAGCAAAAGTAAAGTTTAAAAAAAAAATAGTGATCTAATACAATTCTCTTTTTTTAAATTCTTACTAGAAAGTATTTATTAAATGATGCAGCCATGAACTAGTATATTTGTGGTTACAATCTCAAAAATAACTGATTTGAAGAGGACCAATTAAGATAATTATTTCTTAAAGAATTTATAATATTTTACAATAACTATTAAGGAATGACATTACATACTAAAAACATTTTTTTTTAGAGTCAGGATTAAATCTACCAAAAGTCCTGTCACTACCATAGAAATTGTTAATTAAATTGCCCATGCATTCACCTGATGTATAAAACATAATTCAAAGGAGTATCTAATACAATTCTTTTCAGCTAGTCAAAAACAACAATTAATCGTATTTGCCCATCCATTCCTCTGTCAATTCATTCATTCAATAAGCATTAATTGAACACCTACAGTGTGCTGGGCCATAGACTGTGACTCTAAAAACATAGTACCCAAGAACTCAAGAAACCATTATGCAACACTGTTCAAGGGACTATGAAGCAGATAAAAGATAAAGAAAATATGCCTGTCCTCACCAGCAACAGCTGTTTTATGAGCCAATAAATGTATTCAGTAAAAGGGGAAGATCTGCTGTGGGTGGTTGAGACACAGTGAAAGAATTCCAAAAGGAAAATTCTGGATTTATAAGAAGTTGAATGGGGAAATATAGCCAAGATGCTCTCAATCAAGTAGGGCATATTTGCCAAATTACTAAGAAACCCTGATGTAACACAATCAATGTGTATGTTCCCCATTATGAAAATAAGTCTTATAACAAATAATGCCAATAGGTGACTAATATTATATTCACAACTCCTAAGAGCTATGATGATGCTAAGTCTGGTCTTCTGTCTAGTAGGCACTAGCACAGGTAATCCGAAGGTGACATATACATAATGGACTGAGTCACGAATGTTGTAGAAAAGCTTCTGATTGCACAAAGCCAAGCTCAGATCCTTTGACTTGATGTGTTTCTGAGCCAAACAGCAATCGATGTGAAACTAATCCACTCGCTATCAAATGAGTAAGAGCAGGCACCATGGAAAACCTAGAAGGAAGGAATCTTCAGCATGAAAAAGGAGGGAGGGAGAGAGGAGGAAAGAATGCTAAAGAAAAGTAAGCAAAGGAAAACCAAATACTTCTTTCCCCCCACATCACTAGTTAGATACGGTTTCAGGAAGTTACAAGTAACTAACTAGCCCTAAAATGGTTCTCTAGATTATTACTTTTCCTTTTCTGATGCCTTTACAGATGTGCTGCTCCAGCCACTGCTCAGACTGAGTGGCAATCATCTATCTGCACAAGCAAGACCACCTTGCTGCCCCAAGCCACACCTCTCCTCCCTGACCCGACCCTAGGGCAGAGCATCACAAACTATGGACCCAGAATCACCAGCAGCTGCACCTGAATTTATTGGAAATGCACCTTTTCAGGCTCCATGCCCTCCATTTCAACTTATCTTCCCCTGCAGGCCTGGTACCCCCCAATTTCCCATCCTGCTGGCCTTGTCCCCCCCAACTGACCTCCCCTACAGGCCTGGGCCTCCCCCCCCCCCCAACTTCCCTCCTCTGCTGGAGCCACTCAATAAGAAACTCAGGGGTAGGGTTCCAGAGTCACTTTTAGCAAGTCCCCTCAGGTCATCTTGATGCCCAGAAAATAAGACAAACTCCCCCTTCCCCTTCCCCCACTGGCCCCCTGCCCCAGATTCCTGGAACCTTTGCCAAGTGGAGAGTAGGCAGAGGGCACCATCCTCTGTAGGTTGTTACCTGGAAGCAGGAAGTTTAAGATGGAAAGGGACGGGCCATATGCCAGCTGTGGCTTACAGATAAGAGATCACTTGCCGTGTGCTTAATGATGCATCAACAATTACACTCCTGGGTGTAGAGTCCCAGAAATTCTCACACAGGTCCAGACAGAACATGTATAATAAGTTTCACTGCCAAAGACTAAGAATCAATCTATGTGTCCAACATTGGGGGACGTAAAAGGTAAAATGTGAGGGTAAGAAAGCAACAGATGGATCATTAATGCCTAGTGCCAATGGAACAGAGATTAATTTTGCAAAAAGAACCATAAAAATCCACCTGTGATATTTTGTGTTATTCACATATATTAGACTAGAGACCAAGTGCACAAAATTTGTACATGGGGGTGTCCCTCAGCCCAGCCTGCACCCTCTCAAATCTGGGACCAGTAGGATTGAGCCTAAACAGGTAGTCAGACATCCCTCTCACAATCCAGGACTACTGGCTCCCAACTGCCCTCCCCTGCTGGCCTGGTCCCCCTCAACTGCTCTCTCCTGCTGGCCTGATGCCCCCACAACTACCCTCCCCTGCTGGTCTGGATCCCACTCAACTGCCCTCCCCTGCAGGCCTTGGTCCTCTCCAACTGCCCTCCTTTGCTGGCCTGATCACTCCAACTGCCCTCCCCTGCAGGTCTTGTCTCCCCCAATTAATCAATAGGCTGCCTCCTGCACGCCCACACTGGAATCAAGCCCCAACATGGGATGTCCCCTGACCAGAACTTGAACAATGACCTCCTGGTTCATATGTCAATGTTCAACATTGACTGAACCATTTTTTAATCCCAAGTAATTGCTTTTATTTGTCCCTCCATCTAAACTTCATAAATTTTCAATGTTTTCAAACACAGTAAAATCATAGACATGAGCTATTTTTATTTTTCAACATGTGAAAGCTCTTTTTAATTGATGGAGAAGCTATGCAGCAGGTGGGGTTTTAAAGAGATTAATAGTTCTGGTTATAAACCGTTATCACAAACACATCATAAAAACATGAATTTGGCAGACCAGAATCATAACACTCAGAGAGAGCATCACTTTGAACCCAGGCTTATTGGGGACATGGGCTGGCTGGCTAGTTGGCAATTTTCTTTCCAGGTTTATCTATCTGGAATATTGCTGGCCACTGAAGGTACCTGCTCCAAGGCAGGTGTGTTGCCAAGTTCATCAGTGAGCCAGGGGAATCTCCTGATTCCTGGGGAAGCTGGTAAAGGGAGGGTGACTCAAGCGGCTTGGACTCGGCTGCCCAGCTGCACAAACTTCAGCTTGCTCATTTGTGCAGGACATAAAAGGTACTTAGACACCTAGAACTTTTGAGGGATGGCTGAGTAAGCACTTATCCAGACTCTTTAAATTACTTTGGTTTTGGTCATTTTCTTTTTAACTATTCTAATAGTTTCCTCTAAAACTACATTACTTCAACACTCAAGTTTTATAACATTTCCAAAATTAAGTTACACTTGACAAACAATGTGTTATATTTTATTAGAGGCCTGGTTCACAAAATTTGTGCATGGATAGGATCCCTAGGCCTTGACAGTGATCAGAGCCAATATGTGGAGCAACTGGTAGAGTGACCAGGGACCCTCTGCTGGCACCTGCCCTTGGTTGGCCTGAGGCCTGTGGGTTGGGGGCAGCTCCTGCATTGAGCATCTTTCCCCTGGTGGTTAGTGTGTGTCATAGCGACTGGTCATTCTGCCATTTGGTCAATTTGCATATTAAGATTTTATTATATAGGAATAAGTCTCTGCTATATCCCACCCTCCCACCCCCATGACCCACTGTCCACCCTCCTATCCCTTCCTCAGGCTCTGCTTTATTTTCCAGTCTCAGCTCTGACCCTGTTTCTCAGGCAAGCCTGACCAAACTCCCACAGCAAACACTCCTCTAGCTCCCATTGTGGGAGCTGGCATTCATTATTGCATTAATAAAGGTTTTTTACTTGGCCTTTGGTGATTATTTGATCAATGTCAGTCTCTTCTGGTGGACTGTGAGACCACAAAGAAAAAGCCTGGCATATCCTCAGTGCCAGGCACTTGGTCCAAGTTCAGTGACTATCCCTTGAATCAATCAATGGATAAGCACACTTCTGTTAAGTCTGATGTGTAAACCTTCAAACCCTGAATTAACCAGATTCCCCCTTTCTGTGATGGGTTACCTGATATAAACAGACACACACACACACACACACACACACACACACACACACACACACTTTGTTAGAGCCACAAGTCACAGTGGGAAGATGTACCAGTGAGAATCACATGGCTTGCATCTCATGCCTGGTCTGCCCTGTGCTTCTAAGTCTCTGCCTCAGCAAATTATCCACTGCAACCCACCCTCCACCTTTGAGGCGTATCGGGAGCTGTTGAAATTGAATGTTGAGACTGTGAATGCCAAGGACCAACTGTAATTTCAGAATATTTTAAACCACAGTATCTGCAGGCAATCATCTAGGTAGTTTCTGAGACAAATAATTATTACTTTGATATGATTGGGTCTCGACATTGTTCTCACTTTAAATCACCAGTGTTATTTAGGATATCATTTCTCTCCTCTAGAAAGAATTCACATTCCAATCATATCCCCTGGGTTATACCACAAGCAATCAGGTCATCTGAACATAATAGTAAGCCTTTGTAAGGTTTCCTTTAACAACTTTATCAAAATGTGATTGAAGTAAATGAATTGCCTACATTTAAATTGTACAATTTGATCAGTTTCAACACACACACACACACACACACACACACACACACACACACATATATATATATATATATATATATATATATATATATATATATATATAAAGCTATCACTGCAATCAAGATGAAAAATATTTTCATCATTCCCCCCAATTTTTTTCATACCTCATCATAGTCCATCCCTCTCCTCACACCCCACCCTCAGAAACACTGACCGGTTTTCTGTCCAGAGGAATTAGTGATTTAGTGATGTGCCCTAGAATTTTTATATAAATGGAATCACACAGTATGCATTCTTTTTGTGTCTCATTTCTTTCAGCATAACTATTGTAAAGTTTAGTTACATTGGCTATATAAGTAGTTCATTTTTATTACTGAGTACTATCCATTGTATAAATATACTGTAACTTTCCATTTACCTGCTGATGAACATTTGAGTGGAAAAAGTTATAGTATATTCACAGTGTGGCGCTATTACAAATACAGACACTGCAGTATAAATCTTCAAATACAGGTTTTGGTGTAATATTTTTCCTTTTCTCTTGGGTATATACCTTTTCTCTTGGGTATATATATATAGGGGTGGAATTGCCGGGTCTTAGGATAAGCATAGGTTTAACTGCTAAAACCAGTCAAACTATTTTCCAAAGTGAATGAAATATTTTTAGACTTCCCCTGACTGTCAAGTCTTCCAATTGCTTGACATTCCCCCCAACATTTGGCAGAGTCACTTCATTGTTATTATTATTACTAGTAGCCCTGTGCATGACTCCATATGCCGATAGGTTCCTGCCGCCCTCCTATAGCTCTCTACCCACTGCCCTGCCCTTCTATATGCCCCTCATTCCTCTCATAGCTTGCTGCCCTGCCCCCTCTTGTAGCTTTCCTCTGCCAGCTTGAAGTTCACTGCCTCATCATCCTGCAGATCTGTGATCTGATTGTTATGAGGTTGGTTGTTACACCTCAGAGCATAATGGGTAATTAGCATATTCCTCTCTTATTATATAGGATCTTCACTAATCTAATAAATGTGTATCGTATGGTTTGCATTTGTATTTCCTTGTTGACTGTTGATGTGTGGTAACCTTTCTTTTGCTTATGGATCATTCATTTGACTTATGTGAATGGGCAACACCTTTGTGTCTCTTCAAATACTTTGTTCTTTTGTTGTTGTTGTTATCTGTCTTCTTATTTCTGTGTTATAAAGTATTCTTTATATAGTCTAGGGGCAAGTCCTTTGTCGGATATTTAATGTGAAAATATTTTCTCCCAATGCAAGACTTGCCTTTGGTCTTCTTGATGGCATCTTTCAAAAAGTTTTCATTTTGTCGAGATATAATTTATTAATTAAAATATTTTGTGCTATTTGCTTTCTTTGAGTTTTTTAAATATCTTCCACATTTTTCTTCTTTTTATATCTTTATTGAATTTATTGGGGTGACATTGATTAATAAAATTATTTAGTAATCAGCCCTAACTGGTTTAACTCAGTGGATAGAGCACTGGCCTGAGGACTGAAGGGTCCCAGGTTCGATTCCGATCAAGGGCATGTACCTTGGTTGAAGGCATATCCCTAGTAAGGGGTGTGCTGGAGGCAGCTGATTGATGTTTCTCTCTCATCGATGTTTCTAACTCTCCATCCTTTTTTCTTCCTCTCTGTTAAAAAAAAAAAATCAATAAAATATATTTTTAAAAAATAAAATTATTTAGTAATCATGGAAATGTATTGGATCCTTCCCCCTTATTTAGACAAATGCCAAAGACCTCAATTAAAGTTACTGTCCTCCCCTGGTACTGACTGCACCAGGCCCTGAGGCCACACACCTGCACATGAGGCACTGGCCAAAGGGAGCTTGCCCTCTGTACCCTGTGGTTCAGTTCCCACTGGAGCTCTCAGAGCAAAGTCTGGACCTCTGACTTCTTCAAACGAGGCACCAAGTTAAATTCAACCACCCAGTTTTTGTCCTTGCCATTTCCCTAAGCAAAGAGGAAAAAGCCAACAAGCGTATTGAAGAGTAAATACCTTTTCAACTTACTAGCTAAAAAGCAATAATTTTGGCGCAATGAGCACCTGGCATAATTTCATGAGGCAGATACATTTCTGGTGCACCTCCAGGCTTATCACACTATAAATACTCAGTAAGTGTTTCTTTTCTGATTGAATAATGTTTTCAAATTGACTTAAGCCAATCATGCCTGTGGATGGTGGAAGTGTTACTGAGGTCTCTGAAATACCTGCCCACCCCCTTGAGCCAAAGTAGCAGAGATGAGACCAGCCATCATTTATTTGCAGCAGCATTGAAGAAACCGCTCTAGGTAAGTGTGCTTTAGATTAGGAAAATGCTCCATGAACTCTGGAGGAATGCTGTTTAACCTGCAGCAAGCCATTGTTCTTTTAGCTAAGCCCCCATGGGATTGTGCATCTTCCAGCATTTGAATGTGGGGATTGTTTGTTTTTTCCAAAGAAAACAGAGAGACCAGACTTTGAAGCCATTCTTTCTGTTTTACAGATGAAAATAGAAACACATTTCAACAACACTTTGTTATATAAACACTTCAAAACACAAGGACCAGAGGGAATAGCAAGACCACTCCAGGTGTGAGTTTTATTAGATCGTTTGGAGTTTGATTTATAGAGCAAAAATACTCAAAAACAGATTTTTAAATAAGCTGATACATTTTCCTTGCAGAAGCATTCTATGTAAGAGCTTTAGCTCTTTCTGCCTCCTGGAGATAGCCACCCTTCTCCTGGAGAGTGGGCTAGACTGAGTACTTGCTTCCACCAAAAGCACCTTATGGGAAGGTAAAACAGTAACATAGTGGAGGAACCCAGCAGGTGCCACCTCCACCAGGTGATGAAGGTTCATACCATCTGTCAAGTGCAACCATCAGGTTTCCAGATGAGAAGGTCACCTCCTTTTGCTTTCCTTTCCCCAAACCTATTACCTCAGTCAAATCATGAAAAAAGAGCCCCCAAGACAGGCCCATTTTGGGGAACATCCTGCAGGATAGGAGCCTCTCACTCCAGACTCTCACAGTCATGAAAAGTAAAGAATGGTGGGAAAATTTTAGAGACTAGCAGAGACATAACAACTAAAAGGAGACATAACAACTGTGAAAGAAAAGAGCCACATGCTAACCTGACAAGCTCAGGGAAGGCCTGTGTGGCAGCCTTGCAACTCAAAGACCTAAAATAACCACAAAAGATGGTTTGAAAATTTAATATCTAATTACAAACAGGTTATAGTGGGTAGTCATGTCCCAGATATTTCACCTGACAAAGATCAACTTCTATCTACTTTACTGAGCCCATCTGTCTTCCAGCCTCTAAGATAACTTATCTGTTGAGATGTCTGGGTAACTTGTAACTTCCTTTTTACCCCGACCCCCTCAGGGCACAACAAATGGCCTTGAGGCATTCCCTCATTGTTATTGTTATCAAGTTAATTGTCAACTGTTAATTACTTTAGACAGTTAGAGTATCCTGTATCCATCTCTATAAAAGAAGCTCATGTCCATCATTTCACCTTTTACCCTATCCCAGAGGTCCCCCTCACTCCCCGCCCCCTCCCTCAGCTTTGCTCTGTCCCACCTCCCTAATCTATATCACCAATGAATTTCATGTAACTCACCTACATCCCTTTCCTTTGATTGCAATGTATAAATACAGAAATGTAACCTGCCATTCTCCGGAGCATTATCCGTTGAGGTTCTGCTTCCTGGCATATGTCGACAATTTGGCTCAAATAAACTCACTAAAATTCTTTACAAGTTTCAATGGTTGTTTTTTTTTTTCGTTAACACAACTAAAAGCAATGTGGTACCCTGGACTGGATTCTGGAACAGAGAGAGAAAATTAATGAAAAAATTTGGCAAAATACAAATAAAGCCTGGATTGTAGAATTTTT